CCTTCCTTCCTTCCTTCCTTCCTTAATTCCTTAATTCCCAATTTGGGAACATGCGGAGGGGAAGGAAGGAGGAAGGTGCACTCCTCATCCCCAACCCCAATGGACTTTCCTCCTAGTGTAGCGATTGTGCCAGCTTTTCAAAATGGCAGTAAGTCCAAATCCATGGCCTCCCGGGGTTGGCAATCCAAAACAGACAGTGAAGTACATTTGTGGTTGCATCTGCATGACAGACTTTATGCAGTTCGACACAGCTTTAACTGCCATGGTTCCATGTTATGGAATTCTGAGAGTTGTAGTTTTGTGAGGTCTTTAGTCTTCTCCGTAAGAGAGCTCTGGTGCCACAATGAACTACAAACCCTGAGATTCCACTGGATGGAGCCAGGGCAGTTAACGTGGTGTTAGACTGCATTATTTCTCCAGTGAGGCAGCAGCAGTCTAAATGCCAAATGAAAGGGTTGATTTCAGTTTATTTGTTGCTATTGCCATTGTTGTTTGCCCTTAAGTTGTTTCCAGCTGGTGGATGTTAAGTCAACCCCAACTCATGGTGGATGAGACACTTCCAAGGCCTCCTGTTCTCCATTGTTCTGCTTGGGTCCTCTGAATTCAGGCCCATGATCTTCCAGATTGAGTCTGTTCATCTTCCTCTCTTTCCACTACCTTCCCTAGCATTATTGTCTTTTCTAATGATTTGTGCCTTTCATGATGCGGCCAAAGACAGCCTCCATTGGGCCATCTTGGCTTCCAGGGAGAGTTCTGGCTTGATTTGTTCTAGTACCCACTTGTTTGTCTTTCTGGCTGTCCGTGGGATCCTCTGCACTCTTCTCCAGCACCATGTCTCAAATGAATTGATTTTCTTTCTAACCGCTTTCTTTACTATCCAGCTCCCACATCCCTAAATGATGATGGGGAATCTGATGGCTTGGATGACTCTGGCTTTGGTGCTCAGTTGTACAGTCTGTCTTTACTATTTGGGATTTTTTCTACTTCTTTCACAGCTTTTCTTCCTGTTCCTAATATTCTTCTGATGTTTGATCCAAAGTATGAGAAAGCTTTGACTATTTTGATTTCTTCATTGTTCTAGGTGGAACTTGTTTATTTCTACTGTGGTTATTATTTTTGTTTTCTTTATGTTCAGCAGCAAGCCTGTCTTTACTCTTTCTTCCTTGACCTTCCTCTGCAGTTGTCCCAAGTCCATGAGGAGGAGGTCATTTCATGCATACAGGAGGTGGACACTTGGAGGAATGTCACATACAGAAGTAGGAAAATCAGGGATCATTCTGGGAGCATGCAGCTACAGAATCGATTTGAAGCTCTCTTATCAAGGATGAAGAGAAAGAGCAGCAGGGACAGTCCTCAGGGACAGTGCAGGGGACCCCAAGAGTACCACCGCAGGGAACAGCCACTGCTAATCTTTAAAGGAGCCATGTGGTGGTGGTTGGGGACTCTTTGTTGAGGGGTACAGAAGCAGTGGTTTGTGGGACTGACAAGATATCCTGGGAGGTGTGTTGTCTCCCTGGGGCAAAAATTCGTGATGTGACAGCGAGGCTGACAAGACTTGTCAAGCCTACTGACTATTACTCCTTCCTCTTGGTCCATGTGGGAACCAATGATACTGTAAGGCACAATCTTCAGAATGTCAGAAGGAATTATGAGGCTTTGGATAGGAAGCTGAAGGAGCTGGACACACAAATTGTTATCTCTTCTCCCAGTTGAAGGGCATGGTCCAGGAAGGGAGAGGAAGATAGAAGATGGGAATAACTGGCTCTGTAGATGGTGCTGCCAAGAATGATTTGGATACTTGGATCGTGGGCTGCGGTTCCATGAGGGTGGACTTCTAGCAAGAGATGGGCTGCATCTCACAGCAGTTGGCAAGCATTTTTGCCAATAGTTTCAAACATTTGATCAGGAAGGCTTTAAACTGAGTCATGTTGGGGAGGGAGACAGTATCTTGGCAGGCAGGAGTACATCATGGGCTGGAAATAATAGTCAAAGTGTTATAGAGGGAACAAGGCAAATGATGCAAGGGTCCAACAGTGGAAGGCAAAAAAACAACAACAACCTCACACAGGCAGCAAGTGGGGAAGACACATGCTCTTAGATGTCTCTACACTAATGCACAGAGCATGGGAAATAAACAAGATGAACTTGAACTCCTAGCACAACAAAGCAAATACGGTATAATAGGCATCACTGAAACCTGGTGGGATGAGTCACACGATTGGAATGTAGGAATAGAGGGGTATAACCTTTTTAAGAGAAATAGGCCAAACAGGAAAGGAGGAGGAATAGCATTATATGTACATTGACAGCGCTTTAGAAATAATAATAATAATAATAACAACAACAACAACAACACCTGTGAAGAGATCCAGGACTTAAATCTTGAAAATCAGGTGGAGAGCATCTGGATAAAAATTAAAGGGGAAGGAAACCCCTTATTTTTGGAAGTCTACTACAGACACCCAAGTCAGACTGAGGAATTGAATGATGCCTTTCTAAAACAGATGACCACACTCTCAGAAAGGAGAGATGTAGTAGTGATGGGTGACTTCAACTATCCTGATATTTGCTGGGAGTCAAACTCAGCCAATACTTCAAGGTCTAGCAAATTCCTCACTTGCCTCGAAGACAGTTTCTTTGTCCAAAAGGTGGAAGAGGCAACAGGGGGATCAGCTAGATCTGATCCTAACCAACAGGGATGGCCTGGTCAATGGGGTGCAAGTGGTGGGATCCTTAGGTGGGAGTGATCATGTTCTCCTGGAGTTTCTTATACAGTGGAAAGGAGAAGCTAGGCATAGTCAAACACTCATTCTAGACTTTAGGAGAACCGATTTCAACAAACTTAGGGCTTTTGCAGACTGCCAGAAATAGTGCACATTAAATTGA